TAATCCACTCTATGATTTCAACTCGTAATTACACTGTCACATTGTACTGAGCAATGAAAAATAAAAGGGATTCGTGATGTGCAGCAGTTAAATGGAATGGCGCTCTTCGATCTGCAAAAAACTAACGAGCATGAGTTGAAAAGAAGTCTTTCATCAGGTGCAGCAGGCATGTTACAAATAGCTACCACTCCCGGGTGGAAATTACAAGCGAGACTTTTATTTTCCTCTCCTCATCCACTGACGGCTGATGATCAAATAAGAAAACTACTCCTGACAATTTATTTCCATCGATCCATGTTTACACTCTGAGTTCTTAAAACTCCCATTTCGACACGTAAAAAACGAAGTCAAGAAATGGAACTCTGCTCGAAAGTTGTCAAGCACCTGAGGTGAGGAAGTCGTTGGAGAATTCTTCAGGAAAAGGGGGACGATGAATAATGGCAATTTTCCCTGGAGAATTCGCTGGTCCTCTACCAACTTTACATCGTACTTTTCCACCTCTTTCTAGTTTATTATTCTGGGGGATTTTCCTCGTTTAATCTCGTGAGATCTTCACCCCGCATTTATTTAAATTAATGAGAAGCTCCAGTGAAATAAGGGATAATTAACAATTTGCTGGGCTACCTGGAGAGGCTTTCCTGGAGAGGCTTTCCTGGAGGTGATTATTGTTTTGGTTTTTCAGAACTTGAAGAAATCATTTTTACCACCAAATTCAATTCCTCTGATGAATCGTTTCGCTGTATTTTCATCTATTTCACTGCGTAACTCTCACAATACCGTCGAGATATACTTCAGTTTGCTGGGGGCATTGATGTTGCAACAAAAGTACATCGAATCAACCGGGAAGTGTACTTTACCAGGGAACAGCGAGATAGAGCAGCTACAGCAGTTACTGTAAATATATAGAGGGGATGAATGAAAGCTAGTCGTTAAAAGCTGCTAGTGGAGCTCTGTTTATGAAGTCTTCTTTTATAAACAACTTTCCAGGTGAATGTTTCTTACGATCTGCCTCTTTGGAGAGAATCAGCGTTCCAGATGAGATAAGATGGGAAACACGGGAGACTAACTATTCGCGAGGGTAGGATATGCCGCAGGATTTTTTTTTTTTTCTTTCACCGCCGAGCAAGATTCTCATTTAATCCAGGGTGCATAAAGTACTTGCGGAAATTGGTTCCGGGACGAGAGATACCGGGAAATTCTAGTCGAATTTCGTCGTTGGAGAGTCGATAGTCCCGGCAACAGATGCCGCCGTCGAGATACAAATTACAATTTTCGGAGGAATTCGGTTGAATTTTTTTATCACCGAAATATTTAATTCGTTGGATTGAATTCAGTCCTTGAATGTTGAAAATTTCATTAGGAGGAAAATTTGTGGTATCGTTTATAGCAAAAATGAAAAATTAATAATTGGTAATAGATTTTTCTTGACGTATGGAAAATGGCGCTTGTGTCGGTGGGTGTGTGAGTGATCCGGAAAATTTCAGATGATCTCACCCTCGTTTTAAAATCATAATTCCATAATCGCTCAGGAATAAGTGGCTGAGGAAAGGCTCGTGGAGGTGAAGAGGGCATGAAAATCCGAGTATTAAATTCCTCCGTACAGGCGGTACCGTAACACAGTGTCGTTAAAGTTTATGACATCGAAACAGAGAGCTAACGCGAAAAAAAGGGAAAAATAGTAGCTCTTGATGTCTTTTTAACGACGAGTTTTTGCGAAAAAAATCGATTCGTAATGGACAGTCTGCGGTCTTTCAATAATTTTCACATCAGGTAATGAGAAATTGACAGATGAGAAACAGTCTGTCGTATTTCCCCGAATCTCCGTGAAGTAATTGACCCATTATTTATATCCCCCATAATTATTCCATGAAATTAATAATTTTGAGTTGTAAAAATGATTTAAAAAAAAATCCTCAACCGTAATTAATGACGAAATACTATCATCCGATAGAAGACATGGCGAAACATCCTAGATTCAAGTATATTTTTTTATATTGCCGTAAGAAATCAAATTACAATATTTCTCCCGAGAACTGGAGCATTATCAAGGCGAAATGTACCATGGAGAGCGAATTTTCCGGTGAATTAAAATTTATTGCTCCCCCCGTTCACTTGAGAAATTAATCCATAAACAAAACTACAAAATTTTCGTTTCCATCCCACCGTTGTCGAATAGCCGAGCGACTCATCGATCACGGGAGTTTCGATGGTCGGTTTGGTGTAACATTTGACCTCTCGAATTCCCAGGCATGTATACACCACTGGTTTTCAATCGAGGCCAGATCTACAGTTGTTACCTCCGAACATCCAGGATATTGTTCATTCCCTGGATGAACCGAGAAACTCCATTAGCGATGTGTACACTAACGACTGGGAAATAATGAGGTGTGCATTATCTCTCATCGGTGAGAAAGAGAGATTAAATCTTCAGGGGAATGATGCAGTCTGAATCCATCAAGAATTTCCCCGTAAATTCCCTATACACAATATTCCATCATTCAATTCAATCTATTTTAACGAACGCCATATCTCATTATAAATTCATTATCAATCAGTCCGATGAGATGCATCTAATTAAGAAGAAATTGCAATGGAATCCAGCGGAATGTTCTCCGATCGGGAAATACGAAATTCCATTACAAATTATTCGCATTTTTTTATCGACACACAGTAGTAATGAATTAATTCCAAGATTCTTGTCTGCCGGGTGGGGTAAAAATCGGAAATTAATTGAAATTTTTTGTTCGAAAGCATTCGTGATGTGGAAAAGCATGCGGGCATTTCGCGCAGTCTTCAGGTTCAGTCGAGATAATTGAGAATCAATAAGCCACCACCTAGATTAATCTGTCATGCGAGATGTACACTCATGTCAGGATCCTGCGAGGCCGATTCTAAGGACACGCTTGAAATACGTTTACATGGCAATTCGCAGCAATTAAATCTGGGTAAGTAAGTTTACGACGTGTACACTTGTGCATGCGAGTGCTGAATTCAACTTGTGTTTATTCACACTAGAGTCGGAGCTCAAATGCTATTGATAAATCAGCACATACGGTCTTCAGACTATTCACATCAACATACACCGCAGAAAATACAGGAATTCGCACAAGTTCTTGATTACTAAAATCGAAATAATTCTGATGCACAGTGGTGCACTGAATATTTCCATTGATACCTTTTTCGTCGGTCTCATCCTGCTCTATAAAAAATATTTACGCAAAAAATTCGGTATGTTCCTTCAATTGCGAGATATTTACAATTTTGCAATTGAATTGGAGGTAATGTCATTATTTCTCACGGACGCGGATTAAATTAATTTTAAATAATCGATCGGGATATTGTCGGGTTATTGTTGTAAACATCCTGGTCTAATTTGAAACACGAGGGAAAATGCCAATAAAATGGAAAGCAAGTGAAATTGAAATTAAGCATTCGTGCAGAAGCCGCATTACTCATTATTATTGGATGTCCGTCTGTTTCACGTGGCAACTGTCACATCTTTCAATGCACCCTGACACCGCAGGGTTGGGATTAAACTTCGGCATTATACCCTGAAGACAGGCACGCAAGGGCACGAGGCTAGCTGGAAATTGCTCACATCACATCGCGCATTTACCTTCATTCCTTGAATCCCTTGGACGCATTATCGTCAGTCGTTGTTCAGATGAAAGGAGAGAACAAGCTGAGAAAAAATTTATGCAGGTGCCGCCCTCGGGCGATGAAATATTACTGGCCCTCGTCTCCTCGGATATAGTGCACCTCTACTGAGAACGAATACGTAATTCGCGTATTTTTATGACACCAGGATACATGGAAAATTCGTCCTGTTCGCCATGATATATCTCGTGATTTTTTACGGAAAAAGTCAGTTTACGGTTTTTTTTTCGAGAATATTTTTCGTCTGCGAGAAAAAATGTTCTGAACACAAAAGGAAATTAATTGAAAAAATCGTTTGGGAGATCCTTTCGGCATGAAGAGAGACCACTCCGCCATTTTAGAAATTGAATATGTAATTTTTCAGGGAAGATAAAACTCCCATGAGACAATCATTCCGCGAAATTTATTCCAGTTTCCCAATGACATATTCCTCTTCCCATATTCCACGTTTGATGGACAAGTTAAAAAAAAGATGTGGATGGATCAATGATTTGTAGATAGGGTCAGTTATTTCGGGTGGGTTGTCAGGTTTATCAGATGGAACGTGAGAGCAGTGAAATATTGAATCGCTTTATGGAAATTAATGGAGCGGAGATTGAAAGACAGGAGAATTTTGGAACGGGTTTTCGTTTCCGGTTGCATTCACATCAAATTTTCCTGTATTAATAGAATTTCATTTTCAGAGAGGAGTCATACCATGGATTTTTCTGGGTGTGATTACGGTGGGATTACGGTGGCTTTGTAATTCTGTAAATTAAACTTGGCCCAAGCCGCAGGCCACAATATTGGAATGGATCCAGCCTGTTTCTACTTGCACCATCGTTCAGAGTTTTCCACCAATAATTTCCCTGTGGTCGACTTGTAATAAGTTCCGGTATTTCCGACACTCCAACCCCCAAGGAATTTCCAATTAAAAGTACAATAGTGATATAAATGCGCAGATCGTTACTCCAAGAATTACTGGCCATCATTTTCACAAAGTAATTTTGCGACGAAGGGGGGAGTTTGGCTGGAATTTTTTGCCCACCGGCTCTCGGGAATGGAGTTGAAGGAATGAGGATGTAATTACCCCACCGGAATATTTCCAATGTCTCCCGCGACCCATTTTCTATGAAACAAATACTTTTCCGGGAGAATAGTCTCTCGAAATTCACTGACATGAGATACCAGTTTTTTACGACATTGTCAAGAAATGTTTTGCTGAATTTTTCCACAGGGCAAAGACTGCGCGAGATTCCCAAGAATTTCGCGACCTTGATTGAATGCTGAGACGATGAATTCCATTCCTGATAGCTCCCTGAAATATTAAAAGCTGGCGAATAAAAATAAAATAATGAACTCACTGATTGAGACCCCGTTCGTTGGCCCCACCGGATGCTTGTCCACTGCCACCAGCTCCCCCGGAGTCGTGATGTCTCCTCTCCTTGTGCACAATTCCCATGAGCTTCATCCACGGATTGTTGGCCGCATGGGCCCCCATGCCCCCGCTTTGCCACATGGCGCTCGCCAGTCTCGTTCCTTAACGAGGGAGCCACCGTCTGGGGCCCCCGGTCAAATCCAATAGGACCCACTGAGGCCCAACAAACGATATCCGGCAAGAGCTGCCGATAACCCGGGAGACTACGTGGAGTGGTGCGAGGTGCCCTGCACGGCCCCGTAGGCTCCCAAGGCCGCCAATCAAGCACCTCCACCATCTAATCTATCTGACCTGTCTTCAGTGGCCCCTCCACCCCGCACCTCTCACCTCTCACAGCACATGCACTTTGTAACCTTTAAATTCCATCCGCTACTTTCTTCTCCGACACTTATCACCTCCCCCAGACACACCAACACACTTTATACCACGGAATTCACTCGGCCTCCCGCGATTCTCACTCTTTTTTCAACTCCTCACAGGTTACTTTATCCTCTGTTCTTCACGTACCATCTAAACTTTTTTCCTCTCTTGTTTCGGGTGTCATCCCCCATTTCTCATACCCACCCCCATACCCCTGGACATTCGCTCCTCTAGAGTTTCATTTCTAGTGCACTTGTTCTCCAGACTTCAATCCGGAAATCTCCGCCAACTATTCCACTTCCTGGGGGAGAATGGGGAATTCAGCTGGGCGACAAACGTGTGCTTGACGTTATCGGTAATCGTCGAACACACGTTTGTCCTGTGACGGTGGCGACGTTCAAATGATGGAAAGATGTGTCTCGGTAGATTATAGAATTATCGCTGAGGGCAGTCGGGAAATTTCCCAATTTCGCATTCATCGCTCTTTCAATTTTTCAAAAAATAATGTAATGTAAAAAGTTCCTCGAGTAATATAAATTGGATTTTTAATCACCATCGCTGTAAATAAAATGAATGGTCTTGATGAGCGCAAAACGGATTAAAAAAAAAAGAGGATAATTTTTTCCCTGATTTATTCACAATCTCCCCATAAAAACTGAGTGAATGTCTCTCCGACGAATAACCGTACGAAAATGAAGAAAAAGATCAAGTAAAATTCAACATCAAGCGAAAAAGTTTTGAAAAAAAAAACGGAAAAAAGGTAAATGGAAGCGAAGTAAGAACTGAAAAGTGGTGGATTCGTCTGGGTTGTGTCGTGGCACCGTCGTTTATTCCGCATAGCGGAGAGGGGTAAGTATTAAATCCACCCTCCAGCTAATACAACCCCCATCCCATCTCATTAAAAATAGAGCGTTTAAACCTCTCTGCCCGTCAAACCTCGCCACAATTTTAGCGCAAAGTTAAATATGACTGAAACTTTTAAAAAACGCAATGCGGACATCACCAGCAATATCGAACGTTCTGCACGTCCTCCGTTTCCCCTTGCCCCACACCACTTACCCACCATTATGTATCTGTTTGTTTCTATGGACTCGCGAATACCAATGACATTATACCAAAAAAATACAGTCGTATTTTTGCAAAAGAACTGCCATTCCCCCGGAGCTGAAAAAAAAAATATAACTCTGGAAATGTTACAACCACTGTGCACGAGGATTATTACCTCCAACGAGAATTAACTCCTCCTCTCTTTCGTTTTAAAAAAAGCAGAATGAATCTAGTACACTTACTGCTAATGAGTTTTTGCAAAAGTTTGAAAGAACACGAATGACATTTCCGGTTTGACAGGGGGGGTAGTGATGTCGGGGGAGTATGAGAGGCTTTTGCATGAGGAATTCAATTACATTCCGCGAGGGAAAATAAACTGAGGAATAAATAGGGGAACAGCGAATTGTTTGCATCAGACAATCGAAGAGTGACAGCCGAATGTGTTTTTTTTTTATTTTCTCTTCTAGGGGTCGGGTAGATTTCGCGGTTGCGTCCAGATCTGTCTTCTGTATTATCAAGTGCTTTCGAGCTTGTGACATGGGGCATGCCGGGGCTCAATGCCAAGAAATCCCGGGCACTTTGGGTTCGTTAAAAAAAAATATAATAGAAACCCGAGGAAATACTAGTTGAATCCGGTGGTCAGACTTTACCGGTCCTCTGGACCCATTTTTCGGGGGTTCTAATTATTAATTTGGTACAGAGAAAAATTTTGCAGGAAAATCTTACACATCAAGGAATAAAATGAACATTTGAAGGAAAAGAGTAAAGACAATTTTTGTTGAATATTTCGTCTCGTAGCAGACCTGGAATTTTAAAAAATTCAATTTTTATAAAGGAACATTTTGCTCAACAGTTTGTTTTCCCGATGCCCTCAGCGTATTCGTCACGTCATTTCCCGTGACAATCCCCGTTAAGCATTTAAAAAATGTACAATGGAGGATCTGTGTACGTGTGAACACCTGACGGATAAAAAATGTACGCACTGCTGAGGAAATACCAATGGAGTCACTTGATATTCCAACGACGTGAACGCATTTTTACACTGGAAAACAATATTTCATGAGTTGCACGTTCCACACACACTCGACACTGGGCTTGGTGTCTCTTTTATCTACCCAAGAGCCTCGCGGGTTTGTGTACAGTTCACTTGTGATTATTATTATTTTTTTTTAAATCGCGGTGAGAGACACTCTTTATTCCAGTGGATATTCCGTCGGGGCACGTCTGCACGTCGTGTCCCAAACTCAGAGGGTTGAACAGTTACGCTTGAATAACATTTAATTTGTCACGTTAAATAAAAAAATATTTTCATAAAAAAATAATCAAATGATTTTCCCAGTATTTTTAACATCTCTCCGCAGACGACAGAGAGCGAAAGAGTAACGAGAAAAACAATTCAATTATTCATCCCCCAATATTCTCCAACTCTCGTTCCATTTCTTTTTATTGCTACCCCAACGTCAGAAAAATAAATGATCTCCTTCCATTCGCGATACAACAGCATTTACGATCGCAACCGTATACGAGAATTTCCGAGTTCAGAGATTCCCATGAAATATCGCGTCCATATAACACCCGCAAGAATCCTATTTTCTACCAACTATCTCGGTTATGTACATGTCTAACCTGCCACTTGATTCTTACCTCCCCCGACCCACCCTGGTAATTCTATTTTCCACTCTTACCCCCGTGAACTTTCCACCTAATTTCCCCACCCACTCCACCCGCTCCATCCCCGAGCCAAATCCTCCAATCCTAAAAATGTATTAATTAGAAATACGAGAGGAAGTGGGCGGATAAACTCACTCCGTTAATGAACAGACTCATTGTCTCACGCGAGCAATCAGTTTTTACTGCAACAAGGAGCCAATAAAACTTTAGTATCACTATTATAACCCAGAATTGTTCAGGTGAATTTATGAAGCCAAACTTTGTTAACTTTCACGTGGAAATTCTTCATCAACTGCGGGAGGAAAAAATCTCCATTGAAAAATCTCTATTCAGTGAAATAAAATCATTTTTCTTCAGCAAATGGAGCAGAGAGACAACAAAGACCCGATAAAATTCACCCCGATGAAGAAAAAAAAAATCCATCACCCCCTGCGACGTGTCCCACAACAACGCGCTTTCTCTCCTCACACCGAGGATAACTCAAAGCGACGGACAGAGTGTGGAAAAAATGGGGGAGAAGTGCGGGGTAAATAAAAAGGAGAATAACTAAAGCCTTGTGAAACGCCGCATTGCAACCGCAGGGAATCGCATCCCTACTGAGTCAGACGCACAGGCCACATCCGCAGCCCTCCGCAGCCCCCCAATGACCCCCCGGAAATTCCCCCTGCGATCATTAATAAAATTCTTATGTGAACCTTACTCCAGGTATCATGAACCCAATCACCATCACCCGAATGGTCCAATTCCACATGAAAATAAAATGGTAGAAACCGTCAAACCTATTGAAAAAAATTTCACTGAATTCTCAGACAAAAACCACTAATTCCATGAAATTCCGTAATTCACGTGAATTTTCAATTGGAAATGAATATTCATTAGTATAATTCAATAAACTCTAATTTTTCCCATATTTCCTCAGGCACTGTATTAAAATTACTGGCAAATTCCCCAAACAAAAAATACCGTTGAAAATGGAGGGTTAATTATGAATCGAGAGGCCATCACGGATTATTAAAAATAATTCCCATCGACGTTAACATTGAAATCTGATAATTCCCCATTTTCCCCCGGCCACCGCATAAGAATAATTAATCGACTGCTGAAATAAAATCAAAAGGTAAAAATCGGGGACTAATTAAGAATCGTTAATCAAAGTTAATGAGGAATTATGGAGAATTATTTATCTCCACTTTAAGTGATATCTAATATTTATCTATTTCACTGGCCACCGAGGTTAATTAATTAGGAAAATAGGGGAAAATTATGAGGGGTGGATTTATGGATTAATGGGGGTATGTTTATAATGATTAATATTCACTGTTTACTGTTAAAAATAACAGGATGTAGGGTTAAGTCGCGTGTTGACGAGCTTTAGCCCGGCACCAAGGGGTTTTAGCGGGCGCGCACGAGACTCCCGCGCGGAGCCCAACGTTTTGCCTCACTGCTGGGCTCACTGCAGCTTGTGACGCACCATCCCCTTCTCCACCACCACCGCCACCTTCCACAATTTCATCCCCCTCACCCCAACACCATTGCCACTCACCCCCCTGCCATCCTCACTGGGTATCTACCCTTGAACTCTGTCCTCGTTCAATCCACCTCGGCCCCAATGGCATTGTGCCCTCTCGCGCAGGCACATCGCACACCTACCCCTGGATATATCTACAGATATATATTCACTGGGTACTACACAGCAACGGCCGGGCCAGCGCTGCACACCTGCGCCGTTGTGCCCCACAAGCTCAGAATTATTATCAAAAAATTATCGAATAACTCGCGTTATCACTGCAGTGGATGATTTTTACATCTCACTCATGACGTCGGCATTTCGGGGTGGAGTATTTTAAATATATCGTCGATATTAGGGGTGGATGGTACTCACTGGGGAATTGGGAGTCGTGGGTTCGAATCCTTGAGCTGATTATTTTTTTTATGGGAAATTCATTGCGAATGTAGGTGTGGAGGCTAGTCGCTCCTAGCCAGCAGGAATTCTTCGGAATTCCTCTGGGTACCGCGGAATTCTGAAATTTTAGAAATTAATAAAGACGTGACTGATGGATTTCCGGGGGGAGAGTGGGGCCCGTGGAAAATCACACAAATCACAAAGTTGTGAGGGTGCAGCAATTTTCTGGGAATTGAAGTGTCGGGTGTGGAGAATCACCGTGGAATTAGAAATATCTTAGACATGTCCTGAGGGAGGGATTCAGAGGTGGTCTTCACTATTTTCCGATACGTAAAGTACAGAGGGAATTGCAGGAGAAATCCTGGTGGTTGAGGGACTCAACGATATCGGATTGCAGATTGTGAGGGCTTTTCTACTCACATTCCTGTGGGAGAAAAAATTGGGGGAACTCAAACGATTTTATTCAAACCGCTTGAAAAGATTGGCGAGAATTTGCTGGAGTGAAAAAATGATGCAATTCTGTTTTTCACACTGCGGCTAGTTTTTTTTATTCAACGCGAATGGCTTTGGCAAAAAATTATTTCTATTTTGAATTGGCGACAGTTGAAAAACTTTGATGATTACATTAATTTATTTCATGATGCATTTTTTTATGCGCTTTTCCACGTGCGGAGTTAGCAAAAAATCATTGATATTAAAAAAATACTGGGAACTGAACCAAAGCGAATTACCAACATGCTAACTTTATCCGGTGAAAGTGCAGTGTCGCTAATGCAGTTTGTTTGAGTAACATCATTTTCCCGAGAATTAGTTGAACTTGTTCTGCGTTAATTAGGAAAATTGGCGACATGGGGTACAAGCTAGTGGATGTATAAACTCCCGAGAGAATTTTTGACGACTCATTATGACCAAAAATTCAATACTGGGGAGTGAAAAGTTTAACGACTGCATTGCGACCCCCGGAATTCATGAGAATTCATCATCAACTTGGATTGGGCTGTGAAACTATTCAACACCTCCGGCAGAACTCGGATATTTCTCCGCACATTTAAACACTCTTTCTTGCTAGATAACATTTGATGTCAGTGATATTCCACTGACTTTATGAAAATTTATGTCCCTTGTACGTGCGCGGAATGCCGACAACTCCGTTAAGAAGAGAATCAAGGGGATATGGGAGAAATTCTGGGATGGGAATAGGTGAACTCTTTCACGATCAGCACTTTCTGAATTTCTTCAAGTCTGAGAAATTCAGAATTTTCGACAATGACCGATTCGCAATGGCTTAATATTTTTTTATATCCCCATAATAATTCCGTTTGGTAATGAGCAGACAATTGATATTCTCTCTCGACGATAAATTTCACATTTATTATTTCCCCTTCCCCAAGGGCAATAAATCTTTTGATGCGCTATCCGGCGTTCGATCCCGAGTTTTTATTTCCAGTGAAAGTTACTCAATTTCCCGAGGGTCGGTCCTCAGTAAATGAAGAGCAAAAACCATCAGATGTATCCCTGTTGAGCACTGGAAAAAGGGTATACGATCTCCATGAAGTCAATATAGCCGTGACACGACATGATCCCATCGTCGCATTCTACATATAACCCCTGTCATGCATATTCTAGTGGGTTTACTCATCCCCAAGAAGTCCCAGTTGTCCCCATACCTCACCGGATTTTTTAAATCGCGACGAAAAAAGTTTGCCTTCACGAGAAAATTTATGGATCATATTCGATATTTTTCGGAGATAAATGTGCTGACTTTGGCAAGAAATATTTTATTATTCCGATGTTATTTCGGGGAGTCTCATAATTAATTCGAGTTGTCCTGGGGATGGTGCTGGTTAGTGCAACAAGACCAGAAGTCCTGTGTCAACACTTTGAAAGTGTGTGGGTATAATACTGGACTGAGTGTTTAGGCTAACACTTGGGTCGCAATGAACTCCGAATATTCTGACCTCGTGTATTTTTAGGAAATTTAAAAACCCGTGTTTTAAACATCAGAACCGCAAATACGGAAACCCCAAATTCGCCGAATTCAAAAATAGTACTGATCGAATTATCACAGTCGTCCATCATTAAAAACGTGCAAAATAATAAAAAAATGATTTTTTAATCTTCAGCCTCGCCCAATAAATAAATTCAATTTTCTAATTATGATAAATAATACCAATATCTCCGAAGACAAAAATTGAAATCGAATTGTTAATTTCATTAATTAAAAAACTTTGAGACAGTATAATTATACATTCTGCAAATAATTATAATCTTCCGGGGGTAAGGTGGGCATTGTCAAATTACAAAATCCGATGGTGAAAAATATAAATTCCTCTTTTAACAAGTGACCAAAAATATTTGTGATATCGACTGAGTACTTACCACTCGCTGGCTATTGCAAGATCGTTCTTAGCTGCCCTCCCAGCTGTTTTTCCTTCAAACATTAACCTCAAACATCAATATTTCTCTCCACTCATGTTGATTCGGTATTCATCATGTACTTGATGTTGATGTGTGTGTCAAGCAAATCGCGTAATGCATTCGTCACAGTGTTGTCATAATTGAGAGTAGTGCAACGATTAATTGAGAAATGTTTACCAATAAGAGGATTTGTTTCCTCCTCTGGATGCTAACTTCTGGGTGTGCACAGGGATATTCTGACAATGCCCTCGAGAGTTCTGATGCCAAGTAAGTGAAGCCCTGCAATAATTTTGTAACCTCAAATGAATTCCCCAGGAACTCAGTGGTTCCTCCGAGGTTCCTCGTTTTGAACTTCCTTTTATGGGGTTTTTCTAGCCGTGGACAGGATTACGTGGATCCTCACTCCTTTTATTACAACCGACATGACCAAAAGGAAGTGGAAAAATCGATAGGGCCTGTCAAAAGCCCATCACAGTCGTCGAATTGTAAAGAAATATTTAATAACTGTCTCAATGGAAAGTTTAAAGATGTACCTGATGAATTGTTCTCACGTAGATTAATTAATAAATTGTTGTCAATTGCCACCTTTGAGGTGAGTAGTCACATCGTAATTCATACTTTATGGTGCAATAATTATCCTCCACAAGGAGCGAAGGTTGATTTACTGTTTAAATGAACGTAGGAAGATGATGATCTTCTCGTCGGTAGCATCGTCATAGAGTTGACGAGTGCGGAGTTGAAAAGACTGAAAAATTTCGGTTTGGGTAAAGCAACCATGCGAGAAGTGGATGCCATGATATCTAATGTTTTTCGTGCCCCAAAAGCGTCTGTTTTCATGGATATTTACTCGATCCTCCAGGGATTCTCGTTGAAATCCCACGGGGTTTACTCTTCTTACATTTCACCACACGTGAGTAAAAACTCATGGCGTTTGTAAAAAAAAAATCTATGGAATTTCCTTTGCAGAAAGAACTGATTTTGACATTTGCCGCAGTGGTGCAACTCACCTGGTTGCTAGCAAGAACTAGATGGACGTATTTTAAAATATTTTTTTTATTTCTCATCGTCGTGTTCATTGCGAGTTTCATTATTACCTATTTCCAGCTTCTGAAGGTAAAATTAATTCTATGCAGTAACCTAGGGGTAAATAATTAAATGAAATTCCTTCTTAGGAAGCCGAAATAAAACTGACAGCTAAACAATTTCGTTTCAACGAAATGCCAGTGGATTGTCAGCCCCATAAAATGTTGTGGTATCAAAAACTCTTCTCATTTTTTTGTGAGTAAATTGATGAAGAGAATTATGGGGGGAGAAATTATTGACAGGAATTATTTAATTCGCCAGCTTCTGATGACCATTGTATCCAATATTACGAAGCAGTGATGGAAGACCACAGATTCCAAGTTACCCCAGTCCAAGTATTGTCTCGAGTAATAGGTACATTTATTCTGGAACCAGCGCAATTAATTGGGCGAGCCCTCGCTGATTTCGTTCACCATTCCACGTGTAAGTTTCCCACTATTGCCAGGTGGATTATTATTTTATTCTGGCGGATAAATTTTTTTCCTCGATACAGATCACATGGCATCGCCTGTCCAGTGGCTTCTCCAGCCCTTTTTGCTGGTCGCCATAATCGCAGCTGTAATAATCGGAATAGTCTTCGTCATGAGTACATGCTTCAAGTCCCTGGCATTGAGTCCCTTTTCATTCCTGCGGAACTCGGGGACAGGGCACTATCACCAAGATCCGAGAAATATAACCAGTAAGGGAATGAGAGAGCCCATCGAAGTTATCTTGAATCTAAAAGTACTTACACCATCAGCTGTCATTGTCACCTCCATTTTATCCACTGAAGAGTATCGGGGGACTAATTATTAAACGTTATTTCAGGTATCGACAGACACACCGGGACCCCTGGCAGTCACTCAGAGTGCAGATCAGGAGCTTCTGGCAGGTGAAAAGTCCGAGAAATTGGAGTACTCTGCTGGTGGTGACGCAGATCACCTGAATTCTGCATTGGCAAATGCGAAATCTGAGGGGGATTGTTCCATAATGAATTATAAGTCTCGGGAGCAAGTGGGTGAGATCAATCATGCGGGAGGTGACGCTGACTCCAAGAATATCAGGCAAAGACAGAGGAATTAACGATTGAATTTCGGATGATATTTTAAGGAACTTTTTAAAAATCTGTTGAAGATTGTGTACCTGTGATATGACGCTAATTCTCGAGTATATTCAGTCGATCGATCACGTAATAAGACTGGAGATTGAGCTGTCTATTATTTTAACTTGTAGAAAATGTAAGATAATCATGTTTAAGAAATCATTCATGAGGAATTGAATCTGTATTTTTAAGATTGAAAAATAAAATTGTGTACTTGACTGTGATTTTTTTGATACTCGCGTATTTGGCGCGCTCTGCGCGTGTACTCGGGGGAACATGAAAATCAAGGAGGTATTCACTGCAATTCAAAAATTCGAAAATTTCAAAAAAGTATCAGGGGGGCATGAAAATCAAGGAGGTATACACTGCAATTCAAAAATTCGAAAATTTCAAAAAAGTATCAGGGGAGCATGAAAATCAAGGAGGTATTCACTGCAATTCAAAAATTCGAAAATTTC